ATCGAAGGAGTAGGAGCAAAGCATCTTGAAATGGATGGATGCAGGAAAAGTGTTTCTAATTTATTACAATTATCCAACATTGATTCTAGTTCACAAATATTATCCTCTAATATAGGTCCATCATAAAACATTATATTTGGTGAATAATTCGCCAATGAGACGAGAAGCTTTTGAGCGTTCTCCGGATCTTCTATCTGACACCCATGTAATGTTAAAGATTTTAAATTTTCCCCCGAACTTCTTATTAACCCGGCAAAAGATTCTAAATAGATGGGATATTTACTTTCAAAAGAAAATATTTCTAAATGTTTAAATGAAGCTTTTGAGAAATGATTTAAATCATCTTTACTATATCCTTGATAACCACAAGTTTTTAAATCTAGTTCTATTAAGTTTTCGAATTTATAAAGGGCTAATAAAGGAAAATTAACGGTTTCCAATTTCAGATGAGTTATTAAAATTTCTCGTTGTGGCATTACGGGACCCGTTTCATCATTGGCCCAAAGTTCAACATTTGATAAGATAGCGCCTTTATAACGAATCGATAATCTTTTTAAATTTCTTTGAGCGAATATTAACGTTAACAATTCTGATATTTGTGAATCAATCGCTATATCCAGGTATTCGATATTCAATGAATACTTTGCTAATTGTGAAAATAAAGCAGTCTTGGCCGGATGTGTACAATAATATTGCTTAAGATTTTTCAATTTTGATAAACAACTTCTCGCCTCGGGTATATCTTGTAAGGCCGTAATGATAGGTTCCGTCGTATCTGAATTCGTAAATTTCAAAGAAATTAAATACGGAGTTTGTCGTAGGAAATGATTTAATAAAACAATAGACATTTTCTGAATCTGATCGGACGTATAACGTCTTATTGTGTCCCTTGTTGTAAAGTAGAGCCAAGATCTGACGAACATTTTTAAACGATACATATCCAAATGTCGTAAAAATTTTGAATAGTCAAATAACATCTTTTGTTGAGTTAACGTCGCCGGAAATCTAATTCCATAACCGTTTAACAAATCGATTGATTTGTCGGAAAGTTCCATTATATAAGTGGAGATGATCTGATTTTCTTCAGGAGAATATACGTTATTATAAGGTTTGATTTGTCTAAACGTATTACTCCATAAAATTGGAATAGTAATCTTACACCATTCCCTATTTACTAAAATGCATGAATGTAAAGTTGTAATATCATCTGCGAGGAATTCAACAACCTTTAAAACGATTTCCGTTAAAAATTTTATTGGTTCCATAACTCACGTAAAAGATGAATAATTATTTTTTTTTTTTTTTTTTTTTTTTTGTTTGGTGAGAAACGGACCCCTTTTATGGAATTTTTTTTTTAAAATGGCTGAAGCTTTCCATAAAGGGAAAATGAATTGTTCATCTCAATTTGTCGATCTAATTTGTATTTTCTAACCACATAAATTATTGATCGACAATGCATGGCGTAGGGTAACTTCCAAAGGGATATATTCGGCCAAGGATTTCCAAGAGGTTAAGGAACGTGGCTGCTTTGGCAAGCTTTATTCTGATTATCTTGGTTTAATAGTGATAAATTAAACTTTGAAATCTGGTAATAGATCTTCACTGCAGCGATGCATATGCATCCTATTTTAC